AGATGTCAGTATTTCTCGTCTTCTTTTTTCAAGACATTCTGAGAATCTTTATATAGGATTTTAGCTCAGAAGCCCATATTCTCTTTCTTAAGGACTGAGAGATAGTCCACGACTCACATCCGTATGTAGCCACAGGGAAGATGCATGCTCTCAAAATTCTAATTTTGATCTTCTTGCTGGTGCTCATCCATAGACTTATAGACTTTTGAGGCTGTTCAGTCTTTGCATTACCTTAGTCATCGTCGTTTAAATTTCTGTCAAACAGTCTCCATTGCTATTATAGACCCTAGATATTCAAAGTTTATATATATATATGTATATATATATATATATATATATATATATATATATATATATATATATATATGTATATGTATATATATATATATATATATATATATATATATATATATATATATATATATATATATATATATATATATAACACCCACCAACACTGTTTTTGGGATTTGAATACATATATACCCTATATACTAGTTCCGTTTTTGTAATAAAATAAGTGTGGGATCAATGGCAGACGTTCGAAAACGAGAGGTGGTTGTGGCTCTTGTCCAACTGAGGTCTGCTGATGTAGTCAACATCATACCGGTCGACTTTGCTTCCATATGCACTTTCTGGTAGCTAGCCCAGACTGCGAACTCATGCCACACATTTTAATTTTTTTATTAACATGTGCCTTTTTGCGTCTTTTAATTAAAGACACTCGGGCCGACACGCTAGCGTCTTGTCACTATAACTGTATGACTTTTTTTTTTACACCGTTTGTTACTGGAATTATCAATATTCTCTGATTCCCACAGGGAGTGACATTACCAGCAGTGCTGGTTGTTTGGTCGCAGTGGGCACCGCCGCTGGAAAGACAAAAGCTCATTAACCTTAGCCTGTCTGGTAATCGTCGTACATGAATGTCCATTCATAGTTTCTTGTGAATGTTAAGGTGCTGAACCGCAATGAGGTGCATTGGGACAGAAGTCGAGAAGTGGACGAACGATCTCGACTTTCAGCCATAATTTACAACCGGCGAATGCGAAGAAGAAGAAGAAGAAGAAGAAGAAGAAGAAGAAGAAGAAGAAGAAGAAGAAGAAGAAGAAGAAGAAGAAGAAGAAGAAGAAGAAGAAGAAGAAGAAGAAGAAGAAGAAGAAGAAGAAGAAGAAGAAGAACAAGAAGAAGAACAAGAAGAAAAAAAGAAAAAGGAGAAAAAGAACTGGTTTGTTATAACACAAGCCGCTAAACTACATTAATTATCCATAGAACAGTGGAAAGGAACACAGTGAATAATTTTATATGTCCACGTATTTCATACGTCGTAGCAGTTTTGTAATATATAATTGTGAAATTGCAGTAGTTTTTCTAATAGTTATTGTTCTTTAAAGCATTTATGTTGTGTATATTTCTTCCTGTCTGTAAAATATGATTTACTAAATTTGCAAAAATAGTAAATTATAAGTTCCGCTTTTGGGGTCCTTGGGCTCATTTTGGGGTAAAAAAAAAACATAATTATCCTGAGGAAGCATGTCGTAGAAGGCATACTAGTATATCTGATACTTCCGTGGCCCATATTTCTGCATTGCCGACTTCTGAATTTGTTACCTTTTATAGGCTCTCTGTGTTGCTCTATCTGTTGCCAGTCTTGTTAAGTAGCCAAAATGAACTCATAGTCGCCTGATGATACACATTAATACAGCAGTGCATGCTAGTTTACACAATACACATTTTGTGTGTGTGTGTGTGTGTGTGTGTGTGTGTGTGTGTGTGTGTGTGTATGAATGTATGTATGGATGCATGTATACACACATATACACACACAAACATATATCTTTTTCTTTTTCTAGTTTTGTTTCTGTATATAATAATGACTTTCAACATGTAAGCATTCCTTGGCTGTTGTGATTTGTTTTGTTTCTGTATATAATAATGACTTTCAACATGTAAGCATTCCTTGGCTGTTGTGATTTGTTTTGTTTCTGTATATAATAATGACTTTCAACATGTAAGCATTCCTTGGCTGTTGTGATTTGTTTTGTTTCTGTATATAATAATGACTTTCAACATGTAAGCATTCCTTGGCTGTTGTGATTTGTTTTGTTTCTGTATATAATAATGACTTTCAACATGTAAGCATTCCTTGGCTGTTGTGATTTGTTTTGTTTCTGTATATAATAATGACTTTCAACATGTAAGCATTCCTTGGCTGTTGTGATTTGTTTTGTTTCTGAAAATAGTTTTCCAGATTTTATCTTTGCTGTTTATTTGTGGTGCATATTAGCAGTAAGTTGTCTACTGGGTTGTCATGAAAGCATTCAAGGCATAAGGGTGCTACAAATTTGGCTTTACAGTATCCTAGTATTAATCTCTACAGTTTATTGTTTGCTGGAATTTGAGTGTTGTATGAGTCTTCTTAAATTGTTGCATGCCGCCCTGAGCGTAGCACTCATTTCCCACCGTTTGACTTAGCTCTTCCCCTCTGCTTTGCCTAGGTCTGTTTCTATTATATTATGGCTACATAACATAACATATCCCTTGACCCATTATCGTGGAGGTGTATTGATGGAAGCACTAGCATATAAAACCTGCTATCTTTCTGTCTTCTGCTTGATTAAAAAGTGTAAGATAACTTAGTCCCGTCCATTTCTTGATGTTGTCATTCCAGATTCTTCTTTGCCCTCGTCTTCTTTGACTACCCCCTAACGTTCCTTAAAGCACAATTTTTGCAATCGAATCATGTCTCAATACGTGCCCAAACCAAGCTAGCTTACAATGTTTCACCACTGCCTAGAAAGGCTCCTATGTCCCGCAAGTTTGTATGTTTTTGTCTCTGACATATTTATTATTTTTGTGTTTTAAATAACAAATTCGTAAAATGCGTCTGTAGCGTTTACATTCGAAAGCCTGAATACTCATTTTCAGGAGTCCAACTCTCACACCCGGATAAGAAAATAGACAACACCAGTGATTTATAAATGTTGACCTTGCTACTATTATAGCTACTGCTACTGCAAAAAATGTCTGCCATATCATTACCAGCTATGCCTCTATACACCGGAACCCTAGCTATGGTGATCTGGCGTCCGTTGTTTCTAAGTTGTGTGGCTAGTGTTATTATCTTCTCCTTAATGTCTGACCTACTTTCCTTGGTACAGTTTCCTAGTGACTGTACAGATGAGAAAGAGAGAGTCTTATTACTGGCAATCTTGACAATCAATGGTCATGAGCCACGTCTCACACCTATGTAAGTCATCCAATGTGTAAAAAGTAAAGTCAAGTTAGAGGATCGACTTCATTACACCGGATTTTTTACCAGATGGTTCAGTCTCTCTCTGCAGAACATCTATCTGCCTGCGGAGAGCGTCGAACAGATAAAGAACTCCAGGGATTTCTGCAAAAATTGCACTCGCAAACTGAAGAAAAACTCGCTGTAAAACGAACCTACGACCTCCAGAGGGCGAGGTGAAAGGCGTGACCACTCGCCACGGAGATACCAAATGGGTGCTCAGTGGAACTTATGCCAGCAGACAGTGTCACATACCGCTCGTGTCGCGTGCCTGATTTAAGGATTGCTCCTTAAGAACCAACAGCACTATGAAATAATAATGTTGAGACATTGGCTCGTATTGGTCTAAGGAAGATCCCGTTTCCAATATACGCTCAACTTATTTCAGGAGTAGGGCAACTCAAGATCTGGCACTGCAGAATATCTAATATTTTTAGGCACACTTGGCTGAACACCCCGACTACTATAAAAAGATAACCCCCAGGCTATGATAGCATACTATCATACCCATGTTAACACAGATTACACTTACTAATCACACAAACATCGAAGCTAGACAGTTATAATAGTGGAACAGGAACACCCAAGTCAGACATGAAAATTTCTGAATGGAGGTAATAATTGCAACACGTACATTATATAAGAATCAGCAAAGAACTTCAAGAACCCAGAGTGATATGAAGGACCAAAACTTCAAACTTGATCCGACTGAACGTGTAATAATGTCCCAGAGTCCGCCTAGATCACCATTATGATAGTGTGGACGATTAATAGTGAAGCCTGGCAAAAAACCAATGATTGGCCACACTTATCTGAATCCCTGGTTTTCTTGAACTTGCTGGATGTTCAGTCACTCTGGTGTTGCGTTGAAGACAGTTCCACACTAGACACTCGAACACTGGAGATACACTCAAGTTCCTGGAAAGGATCTCAGGTACCTAGTTAGACACTTGAGGCACAAACAAGCTGCCGGATAAATGATAGTAAAGGTACACCACCCATAATGTTGTCAGTATATCAACTGAGGGTTTCATTAAATGAAGACAAAAGTTTGGCTTACACTCTGATGCCCACCACAGGCTTAGACATAGGTGACTTCCTGGTAGGTGGTTTTTGTGGACTGCTGATTCCTTGCCTGGCCTCCAAGGAGATATCATCCTGTATCAAGAAGGAACTCAAAATTAGCAGTCATCTCAGGGGTTACATGTCAAGCTCAGTTTATTAACATGCACATTAGTAATCATTCAGAGGACAGCTCTTAGGATAATGAGACGGTATAAGTCTCTACATATCATCTCTATTGTTCAGTCAGTAACAGGGACAGGAGATGAGTACCAGAGTGGAGACAGATAGACTATCAAACAAAGAACATCAACTCTCCTTGCCCACATGCACTTGTAGATATACATCCCATCTCTCTTTCTCTCTCACTCTCACATACATATTTTATACCATCCACCGTCTGCTCATCCCCCATACTGTGTTGGGCTAAAACCAACCTCTGACGTCACAGTGTCTAGCCGGCTGAAGGGTGAAACAGTTTAATATGTCTGCTAATTGAAACAACTCGGTTGTCTGGTTAGAGAATAATTAACTTGCTGGGTTTAATATCTCTATAATGGTGTGGGTCATGTAGAGCACAAACTATAGCCTGCGAAGGAAAAGGTTTGATTTTAGGGGCTTGAGTGTCTGGACATCAAGAAATCTTCCCTCCCTGCAGCAGTGGCCAACTTTAAAGAGACATATATCATGGTACTCATAAACTATAATCAACTTACCCAAGCTTAGGAATCCTTCAAAGATTAAACTGGTATTTTTAATGCGCCAAAGTTTAATGAGAGCATTGAAATGTGTCTCGACACCTCAGAGGTGTGGCAAAAAATACCCGCGCCAGACTCCGCTTGGCGTCTCTAGAAAAGAAGTCCTGTATTCGTGCCCAAGGAGTAAAAAGGCTTACAGGAATTTCTGAATATTTTTCAATAAATTATTTATCCCACAGTTGCAAGTTTGAAAATGTAGACTTCTCAAACCAACTAAAGGGTCTAGAAATGTTTATTTCACCAGATAGAGGTATATATCAATATGAGGGACTATATACCCCCCCCCCCCTCCACCGACCCCGGACGGGTTTAAATTGGAAATGTGACCTGCCCGCTAGGGATGTCAACGTCACGACAAGTCAAAAGTGTAGGGTTGGCTGTTCACTCCTCAACAGACAGGGTTATCAAGTGAGGGTGGGAATGATGTAGGCTGACACTGCACAAATTTACGTCTGTATTTTACAAACAATAGTGCGAAATTTTTCTATCCTCCGAATAGCGCCCACATTTTATGCCAGCCACAAAAACACCCGAACAGGGAGGAGCTCAGTCAATGTAAACTGCGGACTTCCGGCGACTACTGCCACTGCCGAGAGTATCTCCCACGCCGCCTCGCGCAGCGTGGATTGGGGCTAAAGTAGATGGCTGAGACTCACGAGCAGCAGCTTCCGCATCTCCTGCAGCTTTGCTCGTACGTCCCAGCCATCTAGTTAAGCCCCAATCCACGCCGCTACAGGGGATACTCTGGGCGGTGGCGGTAGTCGCTTAAGTGCGCAATTCAAGTCGCCAGAAGTCCGCAATTTACATGTGGCGTAGGCCCTGTTTTTGGCCGCCATAATATGTGGCCGTTATTCAGAGGATAGTCCGAAATTTTGCTGACAAATTAATACAAACACCCTTTCAGAAAGCTATGAATTACTTTTTTGGACCGAATATATATGTGTAAATATATTTGTCTATTGTGATCCTACACTGTAGGCTCGACTTTTGGAATTATCTTGACCTATCCATCTGTGAGTATCATGTGTCACATGGACAAAGAAGGCTGGGGATACATTTTTTATATATCAGGTTAGCATTGTCATATCTTTGTGTTGCATAATTATAATGATTGATTAAACCGCTTACCGTTTAGCCAAGATATCGACTAATTTACTATCGTCTGTTATTATTTGCTCAAGAATGGAGAATCCAGTGACGTCTTTCGGCGCCGGCTAAACATTATACCAGAATATATCCAGTAAATGAAGGAATGTAGAAAATAGGAACAGGAGGGGGTGGGGACTTAATCCATTGCCATCTATTTGCAAGGGTAGGGAATGGTTCCATTTATGTTTAATTGCGCAGTTATAATAATTATTAAAAAAAAGTCATTATTATGTAGCGCAATCAAATAAGGTCAAAACCCTTACAGGTGTCACATCCCTAGAAGATTATTGGGAGGTTCCCAATGCTTCTAATTAAGCTTTGATAATGGGATTGCTCTGATATACTGTCAAATGAAGCAACAAGTGCTAATTACAAACATTGATTAACTGGTGCTTACGCAGAACTGAAAGCATTCAATGGTATGGTAGAATCACTAATGTAGAGAGCTTTAGGAGAGAAATAAACACATTTCAGTAGATCAAAAGGTGAGATAAGACGTTGGCAGGCGTTTACAGGACACACGCTGATGAAACCTGAAAATAATACACATAAAATTCACTTGCACTGGAACCCACAAGGTCAAAGGAAAAAGGCGGATTATATAGCACGTGGAGCAGATAACTTGATAGGACACGTTGGCGTGAAGTGGTTGATGGTCTACTCAACACTAGGGGATGCAGGGGCGGAAAGGGTGATGATGATGATGATAAGGAAGAAAGAGGAAGGAACGAACGAACGAACGAAGGCAGGAAACAAAGGAAGAAAGACTGTAAATAAGAAGAAAGAAATGGCGGAATACATAGCGAGCTACAGGTAAAATCGAAAAACCAAAACAGGATGATGATTATAAATTTAATATAACAGGTTGTAGTAGGCGAGACCTTGAGCAGGCTTGGTAATCTTAGTTTTAGCTTCATAGCAAACGAGTCACCCCAAAGTTGAGCAGGCTATCTTACAAATAACAGTCCCAAATTATCTACGCAGAAAAAAAACCTAACAGGGCCTCAGTCACGTGTCAATTGCGCACTTCAGGCGACTTCCGCCACTGCCGAGAGTATCCCTCCGCCAGGTGTCCCGAACGCTGCTGAAACGGCGTGGGTTGGGGCTAAACTAGATGGCTGGGACCCACAAGCAACAGCTACCGCATTTTCTGCAGCTACCTTCATTTTATTTGCTCGTAAGTCCTAGCCATCTAGTTTAGCCCCAATCCACGCCGCGTGAGCAATTCGGCGGCTCCGGTATAGTGCACGAAAGTGCGTAATTGACACGTGACTGAGGCCCTGTTAGGGTGTATTTTCTGCGTAGATAATTTGGGAACGTTATTCTGAAGATAGCCCTTGAGCAGAATGTAAAGTAATTATATATATTTTATTTACTCGCAGGCGCAGTGACAATCACATGGTGCGTTCTCTGGTATTATTATGTTCACGACACACCCAGCAAGCATCCTCGGATCACCCAACTGGAGAAAGCGTACATTCACAACTGTCTCAGACACAATATGCCCCTAAAGGTCTGCCATACTGTTTGTAATTATGTCAAATATAAATGTATTCATCTGGAAGACATGATTTTTTTTTTAATATTCATGACGTAGATAAAATAATCAACAACAGCAGCAACAACAACAACAAATGAAATTAAATGTTTAGAGTGAAAGATTTAACAGCTAACGACCTTTCATTAGATTGGAAATCCATAATGGCTTTTTTCTCTGTAACAGATAATACTTGTCCTGGATGTCAGTCAGAAACTTATTATTATTGAACACAGTTTCCTATTTTGCAAGAAATGTGAACTCCAAAGGACTTCTTTTAATTAATACAGTGGTCTTTTCCCACTTTTCGTGCCTCAAGTTTTATAGCCGTTATCTGGTAATTTTCTTTTGCTGATTCTATAAATGTAATCAGTTAGTTTGTTTTATTGATCAGCTCGAAATTGTGAGAAAATTATGAATGAGTTTTGTTTTTATGACAATTTTAATGTACAAGCCTAGAGTCCACTGCTATCAGTGGCCATTTGACATTAATTTGAATTCATGTTAAATTTGGTTTCTTGCATTTATTACCTTTGTATAAAACACCAAAGTAAAACTATATCTCTAGCATCCTTGTCTTGTCTGTAGTTCGTGGATTACCTCGCTAGGAGTGAGCTAGGAATTATGGTAATAAACAGTCACCACCCCTCAGATAAGGTGGTAGGCTAGTCGCTTCCAGAATAGACAAAGGCATATTTTGAATATATCTTATTCTTGCTTGTCACTTCAACAAACGCCCCTATTATACATGCAAGATTGACCAGATAGGAAAATGTTTAAAAAAATGCTAAGGAACAGTGAACAGTGACCAAACTGTATAGAAGAGAGAACAGTGGAACATTCAACAGTGACTAAACTGTATAGAAGAGAGAACAGTGGAACATTCAACAGTGACTAAACTGTATAGAAGAGAGAACAGTGGAACATTCAACAGTGACTAAACTGTATAGAAGAGAGAACAGTGGAACATTCAACAGTGACTAAACTGTATAGAAGAGAGAACAGTGGAACATTCAACAGTGACTAAACTGTATAGAAGAGAGAACAGTGGAACATTCAACAGTGACTAAACTGTATAGAAGAGAGAACAGTGGAACATTGAACAGTGACAAGCTGTATAGAAGAGAGAACAGTGGAACATTGAACAGTGACCAAGCTGTATAGAAGAGAGAGCAGTGGAACATTGAACAGTGACATGCTATATAGAAGAGAGAACAGTGGAACATTGAACAGTGACCAAGCTGTATAGAAGAGAGAACAGTGGAACATTGAACAGTGACCAAACTGTATAGAAGAGAGATTAGTGGAACATTGAACAGTGACCAAGCTGTATAGAAGAGAGAACAGTGGAACATTGAACAGTGACAAGCTGTATAGAAGAGAGAACAGTGGAACATTTAACAGTGACCAAGCTGTATAGAAGAGAGAACAGTGGAACATTGAACAGTGACCAAGCTGTATAGAAGAGAGAGCAGTGGAACATTGAACAGTGACAAGCTGTATAGAAGAGAGAACAGTGGAACATTGAACAGTGACAAGCTGTATAGAAGAGAGAACAGTGGAACATTTAACAGTGACCAAACTGTTTAGAAGAGAGAACAGTGGAACATTGAACAGTGACCCATCTGTATAGAAGAGAGAACAGTGGAACATTGAACAATGACCAAGCTGTATAGAAGAGAGAACAGTGGAACATTGAACAGTGACCAGACTGTACAGAAGAGAGAACAGTGGAACATTTAACAGTGACCAAGCTGTATAGAAGAGAGAACAGTGGAACATTGAACAATGACCAAGCTGTATAGAAGAGATAACAGTAGAACATTGAACAATGACCAAGCTGTATAGAAGAGAGAACAGTGGAACATTGAACAGTGACTAAACTGTATAGAAGAGAGAACAGTGGAACATTCAACAGTGACCAAGCTGTATAGAAGAGAGAACAGTGACATTGAACAGTGACCAAGCTGTATAGAAGAGAAAACACTGGAACATTGAACAGTGACCAAACTGTATAGAAGAGATAACAGTGGAACATTGAGCAGTGACCAAGCTGTATAGAAGAGAGAGCAGTGGAACATTGAACAGTGACAAGCTGTACAGAAGAGAGAACAGTGGAACATTGAACAGTGACAAGCTGTATAGAAGAGAGAACAGTGGAACATTTAACAGTGACCAAACTGTTTAGAAGAGAGAACAGTGGAACATTGAACAGTGACCCATCTGTATAGAAGAGAGAACAGTGGAACATTGAACAATGACCAAGCTGTATAGAAGAGAGAACAGTGGAACATTGAACAGTGACCAGACTGTACAGAAGAGAGAACAGTGGAACATTTAACAGTGACCAAGCTGTATAGAAGAGAGAACAGTGGAACATTGAACAATGACCAAGCTGTATAGAAGAGATAACAGTAGAACATTGAACAATGACCAAGCTGTATAGAAGAGAGAACAGTGGAACATTGAACAGTGACTAAACTGTATAGAAGAGAGAACAGTGGAACATTCAACAGTGACCAAGCTGTATAGAAGAGAGAACAGTGACATTGAACAGTGACCAAGCTGTATAGAAGAGAAAACACTGGAACATTGAACAGTGACCAAACTGTATAGAAGAGATAACAGTGGAACATTGAGCAGTGACCAAGCTGTATAGAAGAGAGAACAGTGACATTGAACAGTGACAAGCTGTACAGAAGAGAGAACAGTGGAACATTGAACAGTGACCAAACTGTATAGAAGAGAGAACAGTGGAACATTGAACAGTGACCAAACTGTATAGAAGAGATAACAGTGGAACATTGAACAATGACCAAGCTGTATAGAAGAGATAACAGTAGAACATTGAACAATGACCAAGCTGTATAGAAGAGAGAACAGTGGAACATTGAACAGTGACTAAACTGTATAGAAGAGAGAACAGTGGAACATTCAACAGTGACCAAGCTGTATAGAAGAGAGAACAGTGACATTGAACAGTGACCAAGCTGTATAGAAGAGAAAACACTGGAACATTGAACAGTGACCAAACTGTATAGAAGAGATAACAGTGGAACATTGAGCAGTGACCAAGCTGTATAGAAGAGAGAACAGTGACATTGAACAGTGACAAGCTGTACAGAAGAGAGAACAGTGGAACATTGAACAGTGACCAAACTGTATAGAAGAGAGAACAGTGGAACATTGAACAGTGACCAAACTGTATAGAAGAGATAACAGTGGAACATTGAGCAGTGACCAAGCTGTATAGAAGAGAGAACAGTGGCATTGAACAGTGACAAGCTGTATAGAAGAGAGAACAGTGACATTGAACAGTGACAAGCTGTATAGAAGAGAGAACAGTGGAACATTGAACAGTGACCAAACTGTATAGAAGAGAGAACAGTGGAACATTGAACAGTGGCAAGCTGTATAGAAGAGAGAACAGTGGAACATTGAACAGTGACCAAGCTGTATAGAAGAGAGAACAGTGGAATATTGAACAGTGACCAAGCTGTATAGAAGAGAGAACAGTGGCTAGAAAGTTAAATAACTTTAACACATCAATCTCACAGAGGCTACACAAGCCCGAGCAGGCGCAGAGAACAACAACAATGTCACATAATGCGGAGACATGTAATTGTATGTTCCCTAAGCCTATACGTCAGAAATTATAAGGGTTTACTAAATCACCCCTGAACAATCCCAAAAACCACCATGTAAATACTTTCCTAAGGTATTTGGACGTTATTGACAGTAGAGACAGATCCAGATCACCTGAATGTGCCGGCAGACCGCACTTTGCAGTGGCCACAATTTCATTCTGTGCCACGCCACCAACGTTGCTGGAATTTTGGCCGCCAAGGTGGAGGAATTTTCAAACACAATTCTAGTAAATCTCTCTAAATGTGGCTGACATACGTAGACAAAGGTTTGAACTGCACAACTCGGTAGTCAATTGATGTGTGACAAGCTGGATATTCTAACGGCCCATTTGGAACGAGTGAATAGTGCGGAGGCTCAGATAGATCATTACGATATGAGGAGAATGGCGCTGCGAGGAGTTACCAGGGAATCTCGCCGACGCTCAACACTTAGATTAAGGATGAGACGGATATACAATCAGACGGTTACTGGTGCCATCGGAACTAGGACTCTCCGCTTGCTGCTGAAGATTGGGACTGAGCGCTTATGGGAGTACCTGAGTGTTGTAATGTCGATTCTTAATTCAACATTTAACATTTAAACCAGACTAATAAATCCTCCAAATAAAAGGACCTGACTGACTGACCTTCTACCCCCCCCCCCCAGGACATCACACAAGCGATAAACACCCGATGACACAAAGTGCCACCATGCGGATGAGGATCGCCGTGGAGAGGTCCCAGAAACCGCGTTCAGACATGTGGCCATATGTATGGCCTGCCTATATTGCGGCCCCTGGCAAAAGCCAGAGTAGGGCTTCAAATGACAAAAAATTTCGTCCTGAAATGGACGAAATTGGATACTTTGAAGGCGTAGAAACGGGTACTTTATTTATCAATGTGTGTAGAGAGAGAATTGTATGTTTAGGCTTTCTGTTGATGTGGCCTAAAAAAACTCACTCAAAAAAGTGAATCTGACATGTAACGGGGGAAGGGGAAATAAAAGAAAGGAAAGTACCATTTTCAACACCTTCAGGCGCATTGGGCATATAGGGCTAGATTTATATTTTATAGAACCAGTCAGCACTCGGCGGGTGATGTGGTCAACATCACGCAGGAAAGGGGGACAAACGCGTGAAGGAAAAAAAAAAAATGATTGTACAGAGGCGTAATATTCAAGATTTAATTCTGGTAACTAGAAGTCAGAAATTACTGTATCAGAAGGGAAGTTATGATGGAATGGGAAGAAAACTGCACCCTGAGACAATAGATGAAATGGTTTGGACATGTGTCAAGACTACTATCAGACATGGCGCCACAGAGAGCCCTGTCACTTAGACGTAATGGAAGCAGACTAAAGGTCGACCTAACTAACATGGCCAATAAATGTAGAATATTATATACAAAAAAAAAAAAAAAAAAGGAGACAAATTTCTTTAGTCATGTCATGAGAAAAGGAGTGCTGGAAAATATCGTGTCGACTAAAAAGATTACTGCTCGAAGACGCAGAGAAAGACCAAGAAAATTGATGGTGGATGGCCTAAGACAGTGGAATGGAGGAATATCATTAGTAGAATTGATCCAGAACACCAAAGAACGAGATCTGTGGCGAGATGATGATGATGATCCAAATAGTAAAACAGTACATATTTCACCTCTCCAGGAAACGCACATAACTCCATGGCTAGAAATGATGTCATCACCACCAATATGGGCTTATATATTGACCCATATGGCTTCTACCTTCCAACTGTACGGCCTCATGTCGTATATGACCATTTACTTGCAGGACGTTCACTATTTCTCGAAAACAGAGGTAAGATTACTGCAATTTCGTGTGGTTTCATTACGGAACACCGGCTTATAGAAACCGCAGCAGCGTTATGGCTTGTCCAGCGAATGCTAAACTGAAGATCGTGCATTTGAATCTGCACTAGGCGGGTTTGGATAGAAAAACATCGAACTTTCTCATCTTCTTTTTGTCTTGTATTCCTTTAACAGAGCATCGTCCCTCATCCAACTCACGCTGTGGTCCTATCCATTGCTGTCATTCACATGCATCTCACCCCATGTCCCCTCCATTTTTTTTTCAACTTCTCTCTTATTCCCTCCCCTATGTGTTTTTTGATGTGCCTTTATTTCCATGTCCGTGTGGGTTGCAGTGAAAAGTCCGTCCAGTTATACTGTTTGCATTAGTCTATAATCATGCGTTTCTTCGAAATCCCAATCTAGTGCCTGTATTTAATATTTAACTGCTGTTGATAATGCTTTTTTCCCCTTGTAAGCAAATATATGCACTAAAAAATGAATAAAAACATTTATGAAAAAATTTATAAAAAGATGTATAAAAAGACGGAGAATAGAAGGGCAGAATGTTGGACGCGCCTACATGTCCAATTCGTAACCCTTTAAAAATAAAGTGTGTTTATTTTTTATTTGTTCTCAGGTTTTATCAGCATGTGTCTATTCCAACGCCATGTTTTTTTTTTTCTTTTTCACCTCTTGATTCACTGGGAATTGTTTATCACCTTCCAAAAGCTCAGGAGTTGTAATTTACTGATTCCCTCATATCAGCTCTCGGTGTCTGTGACTTAGGTGTCGCATACGAGCTTCATAATGCCGGGGCGCCAGGTTCTATCCCAGCTTCGGACAGTTTGTCTGGCCTTGGTTACAACAGTGGTACCGAGAGCTGACCCTTCGGAGAGCAATGACAAACTACTGAACATAAACCTAGACACACACACACACCACACACATACCACACACACACAACACACACACACACCATACACACATACCACACACACACCACACACACACACACCACACACACACGCCACGCACAATACACACACCACTCACACACTACACACACACCACACACACCACACAAACACACCACACACACACACACCGCACACACACCACACACACACACACCACACACACACACACACACACACACCACACGCACACACACCACACACACACAGCATTAAACAAAATGCTGGGGTTGATTCTGCAACTGAATTTTAAAAAATCATATCAATCAATTACTTCTAATTGGTACATGCAGTAATTCATTCTTGTGTGGATTGTATTAAGTTTACCGAACCAAATATGTGTACTAAAGAAATGACATGTGAAGTGTGCGTGATTTTGGACACATCTTCAGCACCGATTGGTCTGTAAAAATATGTGATCACATAGTAAAAGTGCACGCTGCAGCCACAGAGCGTTCACAGCACATAAAAAAACAAAACACGAAAACACAGAATAACTTAAGTGACGTATCCTGAAGCAGACGTTTCCTCGAGTTGCGGCCCTTAGCATTCCTGGCCTATTTAGTCTTGGGCTACACCCTGTCTCTTCACTTGACTGGCTAAACATCAACCTGACTGCTTCGGGATACACCAGTTAAGTGATTTCTGTGCATTTGTGTGGGTTTGTTTGATTTGTGTATGTGACGATGAAGGCTCTGTTGCTGCAAGATTAACTTTTCGTATTTGTTACATTGTGAGACATGTAAATATGTTCTATGTAAAAATATGTGCATAGCATTCTGTTCCCGATGCAACTGTGGTGCGAGTTTAAGAAAAAAGTTGTTATTCCTTCCGAGAATAATTTTTTTTAAGGTTTAGATTTTACTTTATGGGAGCTAAAATTGCCAGCATTAGCATCTGTCTGTCATTATATGCTTCGTGTTAACGTTAACACACACGGCTTTGTGATCTCCGCTGCCGCTAGTCTGCTGCCTTTCGGCTCATGGTATACCATATCAATTTGAATTTATTTCATTTCCTCGCCAACTGTCCTTCGTTTCCTATGGTCATTCACTTCTCTTGTTTCCATCTGCAGTATACCAGAGAGCTGTCTTGGCTAAAGTTCACTAGCCTTTCTGCAAACGTACCTAAATAATATCCATCTCCTTCCTTTGGTAGCTTTTTGTAACGTCATTTTTGCTAACAGAATTATGGCAGAAGATCAGGCTTTATGTTGATGTTAGATGCCGGTGGATCAGTGAGAAGTCAAGTTGTCATGTCGGCTAGTCACATAAAGGGTTTCAGGAGTCTTTGAAGGATGACAGCTTATGGTGTTTTAACTTTATATATAGAAAACAAAAATAGGACCAACATCCTTGCAGAAGCAAACAGCTAATAACGCTCTTGAACACCTTGTGCCTTTTAGGGAGGAAAAAATTATTTCTGGCAGCCGCCAGAAATCAGAGTGTCCTAGTATTATTACGAACGAGCCGCCACCCTTACAACAGTAGACTTAGTGTTATTTGCCAAGCAGTCCCTTATCTTGCTGAAGAGGGACTGGTATTGTTGCCAACCAATCCCTTAACTTGCAGCATAAGGCTTAGTATTATTGCCAACCAGTCCCCTATCTTGGAACAGAGGGTTTGGCATTGTTGCCAACCAGTGCCCTATCTTGCAACAGAGAGATTTGTATGGTTGCCAACCAGTGCCCTATCTTGCAACATAGAGATTTGTATGGTTGCCCACCAGTACCCTATCTTGCAACAGAGAGATTTGTATGGTTGCCAACCAGTGCCCTATCTTGCAACAGAGAGATTTATATGGTTGCCCACCAGTACCCTATCTTGCAACAGAGAGATTTGTATGGTTGCCAACCAGTGCCCTATCTTGCAACAGAGATATTTGTATGGTTGCCCACCAGTGCCCTATCTTGCAACAGAGAGATTTGTATGGTTGTCAACCAGTGCCCTATCTTGCAACAGAGAGATTTGCATGGTTGCCCACCAGTGCCCTATCTTGCAACAGAGAGATTTGTATGGTTGCCAACCAGTGCCCTATCTTGCAACAGAGAGATTTGTATGGTTGCCAACCAGTGCCCTATCTTGCAACAGAGAGATTTGTATGGTTGCCAACCAGTGCCCTATCTTGCAACATAGGGCTAAACATTAGGGACTAGTACCAGAAGTATCCACACACACAAAAATTAATAAAAGGACACACGAAAGAATCAGTTGACGAAGAAATAAAAGAAACCCATAAATTGCATGATGGCGAAATTTTCTGAGGAATAAAGATCCTTTCTGCCGTGGGGCTTGCTGTATGCCACAATGCAAGGCGGTAAATGATCGTGCTAATACGAATAAGAAGAAGGGCTGGAGAAGGAAGAAGATAAAGAATTAGAAAAAAAAGGAGAAGAAGTAGAAGGAGTGAGAAGAGCATGAGACGGAGGAGGAAAAGAAGGCGGAAGACGGAAAGAAAAAGTGAAGAACGTGGAGGAGAAGGAAAAAAAAAGGGAAAAGAAAAAATTAAAAGGGGGGGAAAAAGAAAAGAAAGGAAAAGAAAGAAAAAAAAGAAGAAGAAGAAGAAAAAGAAAAAAAAAAAAAGAAAAAAAAAGAAGAAGAAAAGAAAAGAAAAAAAAGGGGAAAAAAAAAAGGGGGAAAAAAAAAAAAAAAGAGGAAAAAAAGAAAAAGAAAAAAAAAAGAAAAGGGGGGAAAGGGGGAAAAAAAAAAAAAAAAAAAGGAAAAAAAAAAGGAAGAAAAAAAGGGAAGGAAGGAAAAAAAGGAAAAAAAAAAAAAAAAAAAATTGAAAAAAAGGCAAAAAAAAGGGGGAAAAAAGAAAAAAAAAAGAAGAAAAAGGAAAAAAAAAAAAGAAGAAAAGAGAAGAAAAAAAGGAAAAAAAAAGGGGGAAAAAAAAAAAAAAAAAAAAAAAAAAAAAAAAAGGGGGGAAAAAAATAAAAAAAAAAAAGGGAAAAAAAAAAGGGGGGAAAAAAAAAAAAAAAAAAAAAAAAAAAAAAAAAAAGGGGGGAAAAAAAAAAAAAAAAAAAAAAAAAAAAAGAAAAAGAGGAAAAAAAAAAAAGGGGGGAAAAAAAAAAAAAAAAAAAAAAAAAGGGGGAAAAAAAAATTTTTTTTTCACGTTTTTTTTTAAATTTGCCCAAACTGTGGAAAAAGTCATTTTTTCCCCCCCTTTTAATTTTTTTTGGGGTTTTGTCGGCTTCCAAAAAAACCCCACTTTCCAAAACCAAACGGAAAAAAAAAAACCAAAAAACCTTTTAAAAAGAAAAAAATTTAAAAACAAACCCCCAAAAACAACAACAC